TGCTGAACTGAATCTTGATGTCTTCGGATCCGCCTGTGCTCTCTCGGTCCACGTTACCGCTGTTCCCCTGAGACACGGCCAGCTCCGACTCATCCTGCTCCCGTAGCTGCAGAACACTGTTCTCGAACTGGTCCCTGGAATCTTCACTCACGCTGGTCAGCACCGTCGTGGTGACGGGGCTGCTTACGCTGTCCATCAGCTCCGGGCGCACCACCCCCTTTTCCTGCTGGTCCTCGAGGAGCTTGGGCGGAGGGCGGTTCCCCATAGCTGCGAGTCCATCCTGCAGGCCACTGGACGGCGTGTTTTCACCCGAGGCTAAGTGTGGCGGCGAGGGGGAGCTCAGGTGCTCCTGAGGGCTGGCCATCGTGCCATGAGTGTGACCTGGGTCCTGAGACGACACTCAGAGGGTCGCTGGAAGAGAGTTTTGGTGCATGAGAGGGCTCCAACGCCTGGGAAAAGCAGAGGCAGAACATGAGATCACTTGGCCTTCGTAGCCACAACCCACGTTCCTGTTCCCGTGATAAAAATACCGAACAGTAGAGAATGGCTAAACGGCGCTTACTTCTAAGATAGGACACTGTGCAGCATGGACAGTTGTGTCGTGTGGAAGAGTAAATGTTCATAACACACCAATATTTAAAGAGTTAAAACATTTGCAACAGTAACCGAACATTTTTACTTAGCAGATACACAAACACATATACAAGAAAAAAAAACAAAACTGGAAGGATATGCTAAAGAAGTAACAATAGATCATTTTAGGTGTCGGGTTTGGGAGAGGTTTATATTGTGATTTTCAAGGTATTCCATGTGTTCTGTACTAATATCTATTATTTGATTAACCATAAAACAAGTTGCTTCCTTTCAAGGGAAATTAAGTTGTTCTGAATTCATTAGGAATTATATCCTGTGTTATTGTAAGTTCCTGGTCATCTTTCCCCCTTGCTTTAGTATTGCATTCACCTGGGCATGTCTTCACTTCCTACGAAATTAACTAAGTCATGTAGATAAATGTCTTGTGTATGCAACGAGATGAACTTGTGAAATACAAAATTTGCTTTTACTATAGTGCACCCAATCTGCGGCAACACAACTAAGCCCCCAGTCTTTACACCTCTTCTTTGTTTCCCATCTGGCCATTAGCATCACTTTCTTGGGGAGATGTAATCGTGAAAATAAAGTCTTGCTCTGTTAGATTGCTGGAGTCAGGATGCATTTTTGCGCAGAAAACCACAGAAGAACACATCATGACTTTTCCAAAGACCTAATAGATTGGCCAGATCATGCAACGTCAATCTCAAATTTATTTAAAGTGTTTTTTTTTTTTTTTAATCAGACATTTACTATAGAATAGTCTGCCCTTCCTTCTTTCTGTTCTAAGCATCTAGAACGGGCGACAGGCGGGGTGTAAAGATGACTTCACTCTGCAGAGGGGGCAAAGACAGATGAACATAGACCGGCAATGGAGTGCAGCGCCTACGAGTCGAGCAGTCTAAGGGCAGAGAAGAGGGAGAGACAGTTTCAAGGACCGGCACTCAGAAGTGACTTTAGGGGGACCTTATCAGAGAGAGGGAAATTCAGAAATCATCTCCCCAGAGGGGATGGCCACTCTGCATTCTTTTTACCTCATTTCTCCTCTCCGGATTCTGGGCACGCATGCACGCGCGCGCGCGTGCACACACACACACACACACACACACACACACACACACACCTGGCATGTTTTTCAAGCCACCTGGTCCAGTTCTTTAACCACGCAGTTGGCTGTGTGGGATCCAGCTGCCTAACTATCATGCCACCAGCTGGCGTCCAAAAGCGGTAACTTTTGATTCATTTGAAAGGACTGTGGAAATCCGTCATGCCAGCGAGAAAGGCATGAGTGAACAGAAAGGTGAAGGTATTATGAGTGTGGGGGAAGGCACGAATGAGGCATAGGATGAAAGGCGAGGAGGCGGATGAGAAATCCAAAGTGCCTGGAACGCGGGCTGTGCGTGGGCACAGAGCCGGGTATGAGTGGACAGAGAGGGCGAGATTCTAAGGCGCACCAGAGACAAGGCTGAGAGGTTTGGGCTTTATCCTAAAGGAGACAGGGAGCCACAGGGTCCTGTGTTAGACTACGGATAAAGCGAGACCATCTTTGTTTTAGTATTTTCTCCTCTTCACTACTGAGATCCAAATTCAAGCTCTTTTTATTTTTAGATGCCATATTGTATGAATAGCTGGTGTTAACGAACCAGTGAACACATTCTATCCTCTGAATTCTCGTTCATTCGTTCAGACATTAACTGAGCTCCTGTTACAGGCTATGCATGTGTCAGGCATTACCGAATGGAACCTAGGTCCCTATCCTTCAGCAACTGTTAGTCTGAAGGGAGAGACCAATAAGTAACAGCCAGAGGTTAGATATGGTGCAGATAATGCACACAGTACTATGAGAGCGCAGAAAAAATGCATAAATCTGCTAACAGATGCCACAAAAGTGTCGTCTGCATCCTGAAAGATGAACTGGGGTACAGAGGAAAGAAAGACCGAGCATTCCAGGCAGCACTGGGGAGCAGCAGAAGATAATTCTTAGAAAAAGCAGGCAAAGATCAGATTATGGGGGACTCATATAACATGCTAAATCTGTTAGATTTTATCTTCAAAATAAAAGGGACCTATTATATAGGATTTTAAGCAAGGGAATGATTTTGCCAGATTTGTAAATTAAAATGGTCTCTACAGGACTGGCCCCATAGCTCAGTGGTTAAGCTTGTGTATAGGGAGCCTAATCCCACATGGCCAACCATGGTTCAAATCCCAGCCTAGCAGCTTGAAAAATATACTGGGCGAATGTGCGTATGTGTCCAAAATCCCGATGGGATGGAGAAGGGGTGGGAAAAGATTTCTGCATGACCACACCCCACTGGAGGGTGCTCCTTCTTCCTCTCTGGTGAATACACATACCCTTCGGAGATTTATATGAGACAAATACACACACACATATGTATGTGTGTATATATATATATATATATATATATATATATATATACTCTCAGGTCCGGTTAGGAGGCAGAACTCAAGAAAAGAAATGATGAGGGCTTGAATGAAGGCAGTAGCAATGGCAATGAAGAGGATGGGACAGATTTAAGAGATAGAATTGGAAAGAGCTAGTAATTGATTAGACATGGGGTAAGAAAAAGGGAGAGGGGACCAGCAGTTAGCGTAATGGCTATGTCATTGGACTCCCATGCAGTCGACCGCAGTTCACGTCCTGGACCCGGTGGCTTAAAACTCATGCCAGGCGCGTGTGCGTGTGTGCCCAAGATCCTGAGAAGAGAATGGAGGAGAAGGGATTGCGGCATAGCTATCCCCCCTCGGGGCGATTTCTCGCTTTCTGTCTCTCTGTCTCTCTCTGTCTGTCTGGCGAGCGCATGTGCCCTATAGCAAAAACCTCTCCAAAAAAAAAAAGAAAAAGGGAGACAAGATGACTTTTCAAAGAACTTACTTGGAATAATGAACAGATGGACAATGTCAATAAAGGAGATACGAAGTGCCAGAAGGAAAGATTTGGAAAGAAAATAATTAACTGAATTTTGCACACAGAGAAGTTAAGGCCTACAGTCATGCTCTGGGATAGCCTTTATTTATGTTATCTGATTTTTGGGGAAATGTTATTTATCATTATTGTTGTTATTATTTTAAATTTGCTGCAGGGCATGTGTGCTCACTAGACTGAGAGGGAGGAAGAGAGAAGGAACGGGGGAGAGCAAGCCACTAGGTCCAGGACTCGAACTGTGGTCAGCCATGTGGGAGTCCAACACCTTAACCACTATGCCACCTACTGGCCCCATCTTATCTGATTTTAAAAAGATACTTTGTAGCGACGGATTTGAAGGTAAGCAAAGATGGGGGTTCCTTTAGCTCACAGGCAGAAGTTTCAAAATAATACAAGTTAAATTAAGACCATATTTATTAAATATATACCGGAGCTGTGCCATGCACTGGGCTGGGTTCTGTGGATACAGAACATTACTGTTACTATTTTAAGTGACAAACAAGACAAAGTGCTTGACAATCTATAGAGGCTTGTTCATATAAGAAGTGATACACTGGCAAATCAGATCTCAGGAAAACAACACTGATTTGCACAAATTCATACCAGTTCTTCCCCTCACATAAACCCTCCCTTCATAGCAGATTTCAAGCCAACAAGAGTTTAACAACCTGCTTACAACGTTTCTAACTATGTGACAGCTGGAAATTTGGTGTAACACATGTTGGTGGGTAGTCAGATGCAGCCTTCCAACAGTGTCATTCCCATTTTACAAGAGAAGTAAGACGCTTTCCTCAAGTTATTTCCTCTATTATTCTATTGAATAAACAGTAAAGCAGGGAATAAGCTCCAATCAAAATTTAGATCCTCAAATTCCTTTTTTTTTCTCGGAGAGATTTTTGCTACAGGGCACGTGCGCTCACCAGAAAGACAGAGAGAGACAGAGAGACAGAAAGCGAGAAATCACCCCCCAGGAGTGATAGCCACATCGCAATCCCTTCTCCTCCATTCCCTTCTCAGGATCTTGGAAATGCACACACATGCGTCCGGCGTGAGTTTAAGCCACCGGGTCCAGGTCGATTACATGGGAGTCCAGCGACATAGCCATTAAGCAAACTGCTGGTCCCTCAAATTCCTCGTTTTTAATTTAAAAACAGTTTTGTCTTAATGCCAGAGAGTGCATGCTGGAGAGAGCGAGAGCGGGGACAAGCACACGTGCACCCAACCCGGGTATGGACGTGCCATAGCCTTCCTGCAGCTCTGCATCGCATCAGGATCTTGGGCACACGCACTCGGTGTGCAAGCCGCCAGGGCTGGGCTGAGCCTGGTCAGCCCTGTGGGGTCGGCTTCCTCGCACAGGGCTCAACAGCCGGGCTACGGGGCTGGCCCCAGCCTGGCCTGTTTCACACCATAATGGATCTCTGAAGGGTCACTGCTCGTTTTCTTAGAGCGCTTGACAGGTTAGAAAGAATGCTGCTACCTGAGATCTCTGATCTGAGTGTCTGGCCCCCTGTAGAGTCTGCAGCAGGGACTTCTTCCCCTTATTTTCCACAGAAGACGACGAAGGCCTCAAGAGAAACGTATGCTCGAGAGCTGAATGCCTGGCATTTTCCCTAATCGGAAAACCCTCCCGTATCATGTGGCCCCTGGGAGACATAGCTCCACGCATTTCAAAGCACGCAAACTACTCAAGGTGAATAATTACACTGAAGGAATTACCTCCTGCTCCTCGCACACCCCAGATAATGAATGGACCATGTTCTGTTACCAAGCTAAGAAAGAGAGGAGACAACGAGGGCAGGAGTGATTCCCACACGCTGGACCAAAGAGGCTAGACTTGAGACGCCCCTCGGGAGCTGATGTAAGAGCATGAGCAGAGGCAAGTGGGCAGGAATGGCCAGGGCATTCAGGACG